TTTTAAGGTATAAAATCATAAATAATATTCAACGTTAAAAACTGGTACACAATTAAAAACATTTTATTTAGGCCTATCTATGGCCTTCAAAAACTTGATGACTCTACATGTTTCGACGTTTTGTCTGACTAATGTAAATACTTCCATATTCACATTCTATTTTATATATATTTCAGTTTTTTTAGTGAACTGTATTTCGTCTTTCATAGTACCTAACATTTCATTCATCTTATTTATCGGTTTAAATATAGGATAGAATGTCTGTTGTTTTTTAAACACTTTCAATAAACTAGTAGTTAAACCTGGAACATATGGTAAAATTAAGCCTTCCTTTCTAATTTTTTCGTAACTGGGTTTTAAAGTACTAATTTGATCAGTTATTATAGTATTAGTGAATTTATTAACTGCCCTATCTATAATATTCAGATTAAGACCTTATCGACTGCTATATATTTAATTAATAACAATTCGTTTTTTAAATCCTTTTCGTTAGTACATATCTTCAAAGCTCTGTTAACATAACTATAAAATGCAGACATTTTTTGTGACCTAGTATGACATGATTCCTGGTGTGGGTGCATAAGAACAGAAAAAGGTTTCAGGTAAACTGATGTTTCTAAATTACCTTGTACATTCATTTTCACCAATACATGTAGAAAAGGCAAGCTATTATTTTTCTCAATGTCAACCGTAAATTGTATAGATTGTTCAATGCTGTTCAAATAGTAAGCAAACTGTGTAATGCCTTATTACCATATTTCCACACCAGGAATGTGTCATCTACATACCTTATCCAAATATCAGGTTTATATTTTACATTATTTATGACTTTAGTTTTAAATACATCCATATATAAATCACATAATAATGGTGAGAGTGGTGATCCCATAGCTAACCCTTCATTTTGTTTATAGAAATTATTGTTAACTTGAAAAAATGGATTCGTAACACATACCTTAGTTAAATTGACTATATCTATAGTTTCAACTGCTGAAATTTTATTTTCTAACATTTTTTTTCAAAACATTTAATTGCATCTTCTACTGGAACTTTTGTAAATAGGGATACAACATTAAATGATACTAACAAATCTTCCTTATTTAAGCTTACATTTTTTTTTTCTCTACAAATTCTAAAGCATTTTTAACTGTAGGTTAAAAACAAACACTTCTGGGCTATATGCTTAGCTATTTCATACAATGAAGTACCTATACTTGATACTATTGGTCTAAACCTGTTATTAATTTTATCTACTTTTGGAAGTACATAAAATCCTGGAGTAATAAAACTAGCTGGAATTAATTGTTTCTTCTGTACAGTTTTTAACACTTGTTTTTACAAGTTCATGATACTTATTAGTAGGGTTATTCTTAACTTTTTCATATGTACTTATCTCTAACATATCTTATACCCCATTAAGGTAATCACATTTATTAAGTACTACAATTTGTCCTCCTTTATCAGCTTTACAAATAACAATGTTTTTATTTTCTCTTAATGATTTAACAGCCTTTATATCTACATTTTGTTTTTTCACTGCTGGGTTGAAATTACTTACAAGTTTATAACATTCAGTTCTAATTATATTTTTAGAATTATCAGCTATCACTTTACCCAGATTTGTTTCTATATCCGTTATTAAATCCTCCTTTCTAATATTTAATTATTTATAAGGTATGTCAGTGAAGGATTTTTTTAAAGTAATTTTGCATTAAAGGGACTATTTTCATTGATAGGGGTTCTTGTGTTTTAGGTTTTCTTATAGTTTTTGTACATTATTTTAACTATTTCCTCCTAAAGAGAATAGAAACTGACTGTTGAAGGGTGTTTAGTGTTTCTTTTACTCCATGTTGTGATACTCAGTACTTCCTAAAAGAGGTGGGATATCTGTGTCAAAAGCCTTTCCTGTGTTATGTTTTAACTTAGTTTTCTCTTTTAGTGTAATTATAATGTTGTGTTTGCTTAAGAGCTTGTATTATTGGGCAAATGTTTTTACTACAGTGAGGATGAGCTACTTCAATTTATTGAGCGATATGTGAGTGAATTTTACTTGGTTTTGATTGTTGTTGTGTTAGAATTAGGGAAGGGTGAGTCAGCCTGGAAATAGGGAGGGAGTGATATGTGGCACAGGACAGTACCATATGTTTGCTACCAGTTTAGTTAATCTATAAGTTGTTTCAAAATTTCTGTTTTCTTTACGTTCAGTTAGATGCTCAAGTAAACAGTTCAACTCCTCCATAGTTTAACTGTGCAGAAAGTCAGATTTATTCTCATTTGACATTAAATGAGTTCTGTTACAGGAAGCATAGCTGTAGCTTCATTCGTGACATTCTAAAATAGACAGTTGTAAAACATTCACAAGATCTTCAATTCTACGGGTCCTACCCACTTACTGCAAGGGAGATCAATGTAACTGAGAATACCACATATATTGGAGTTATGACAAGGCATAACTACTGTTAATAATCAACATTAATGTTACAAGTTCATGTTTTTGTAAAAGAAGTGTTGAGTGGTACACAAAACTGAAGAAAACACAGTTAGCAGTTTGAACAACAGTATACATAAATAGATCCAGACTAGTGAAAGATGCCAGGACCACAGAAAGAACATTTATGTGTTTTTATAATGTTGAGGATGATAGACTGGCTAGAAGCTGTTAAAACATAAGTCACTGTAGAATAGATATAGCCTCACAATTGTAGTTAGCAGGATATGGAATTCCTTTAAGACCACCAGTTCAATTGACTGGAGACTGCTATTAGACAGTATAGGCATGAAAGAACTGATAGGCCTTAGCACCACAAGTGAATGAACAGCTCAGAGAAGCAACTGGAAAACAAATGGTGTGATTTTTTTCTCCTGATTGCCACAAAATAGTCCATGTCAAGGACATATGGATTGGTCAGAGTAGCATGTGAGTAAATTTCTTGTTCACAGATGAATCATTCATATTGCAGTGAGATATGCAATATACACATCTTAGTAGTGCCTGAGACCAGTTTTAAGACTAATCATTAACAAGGTTTTTTCATAAAAATACAAATAATATGTACTGTCAAGTTAAATATATTGAAAAGTATAAATTATTGTTTTCTGGAATTGAATTATTAATTCTGAAATTACACTTTTGTTTTGTTCTTCAGGTTTTGAACTTACATGGACCAGAAAAATCTTTGGTAACTTCATCTTGGCCACTTATTGGTCAGTTTTCCAGTATTGGATCACTTGGAACTGATCAAAATCAATGGTTATGTGGAGAGTGGCTTGCCAGCCTTGGAACTGTTAAGGGTTGTAGTTTGACCTCCAAAACACCTTTGCAACTTGTAAGTTTACTGTAATTTCTGTAATAAAAACTTTTTATCTAATGAAATAAAGTTAAAATGAAAATATAGGTTTGCAGTGCTACTCACCTCTCAGCATCACAAAAAATTATTACTTCACATGCATTTCCATATAAATTCCTGCATGAACAATGAGCTTTGAAAAAAGCTCCCATCCCTACAGGTATCAATGTTTATTGTGCTAGACTATAGTGTAAGCATCGTTAAGACTATAGCTATCCATAAATAGGAGGGTGACATATCCTATGTTGCAGAAATCTTTATGAACTCTAGCATTTCAACATTCTTTCCTAAGCACTGCTTGTCTTCAGACATGTATCTTTTTTTCATAAGATTTACCAAAATTTTTGCATCTGTTGTTTTAACCTTTCACTACTATCCATGTAGCCTATTTTTTCTTTCATTTTCTTGTTTATGTGAGAGAACAATACTAAATTTTAAGGCTATCAGTTAGAATTTTTGAATTGTCTTCAAGTTGATTTCATTTTAATCAACCTTTAACTTTTGGAACACATCCCATTTTCAGTTCCTGTTGTTTAATATATACTATATGGGTTTTGTTCAGTACTCTTCAAGGTTATCATTAGGCTTATGCACCATTGCCAAGTCTGGCTCATTTTCTTCCTAACTGGTAACCACAAAAAAAACAGACTTCATTTTTCCAGGATTTTACAAGAATGGACAATCACAACATGAGTCTTGTGAATTAACTTGATTATACATTCATGTTCCCACATTTCTGACATCTCTTAAATTTTTAATACTCGTTCATAGGAGTTTTCTAGTACTGTAATGGTGACTGGAAATACTCTTACGGTCATGATCGGTTCCCTTGTGATCTTGGATTGAGAATTTATGACCTTCTGCTTCTGTTACTTTAGCTGAACCTGCCCCATATTGTATTTTATCACTGTTGTTTCCACGCCTGTTTTTGCTGTTATTTTTTCCTACCCGAAGTAGATCAGATAGTCCCACTTTTATCCTTCATTGCTTTGTATTCCATAGGTATGTGTCTTGTATTTTCTATTTCTATGGTAATGTTTTGCTGCATCTTAGGCTCCATTGTTGCATGAGTCTCCTTCATTTGAATATCTTCTTTCAGTGTAGTAGGTCCTACCAGATTTCTCTGTTGGCTCCGATTCTTTGGGAGCTTTGCTTTCCCACTTTGTCTACTGGTGGACTTCCTCTGCTGTAGTCAACTGAGTTTCGCAAGGGTTTTTCATGTACTTCTTTTCTCCACCTTATCTGTTTCAAATGCTATGGGACAATTTCTCAACCCAACTCTGGGGCTTTACTCCTTTCTTTTTATCATTCTCATGAAGATGGGGGTTTGATGGCCAGATATCAATTTGTTCCACATGACCTAATTTTGGTCTTTCCTCAATTTTTCCACATCTCGATTTGTCTGTCTATCATTTGCTTCCTTTGGTTCATCCATAATGGTAAAATATTTAGTTCTCAGTCTTTCTGTTTGAATTGGCTACAGCCTCATCTTTTTTATTCAGTTCAGTCATCTCATTTGGGGTAGATGATTTGGTTCTTCATTTCAGTCTGTATCCTGTATTTCATTCACTTGGGGGGGGGGGGTGAGCTTTCTCACTCTGTATATTAGGTAGGCTCAGCCTATTTCTTTGTCTTTCCCAAGAACTATCACTTACTTTTGTCTTGGTCTTCTTCCCTCACTATTTACCACAGGAACAGGTTCATCTTCTTCTCTGACTGCCTTTACAGTTTGGGTTGCT